CTTTGAATCAAGACCATAACGTTTCTGCATAGTTGTAGAGATCAAATCCGGTTTCATATTTAGACCAACATTTCTAAAGTTTTCCAAAATAAGCTTACTTATTACTTTGGAGGAAGCTTTCGGTGCACCAATGCTTCTAAAAAGACATGTATGCTTCTCGATGTACTTTGTTACCCAGAATTACTCACATGATGGATTTTTTTTTACGGCTCGAACACTTGACAGCTAACAACTTCGTGTCTGACTTCGAAACAGTAATTCTGAATTTGCGTTCAATTGAAAGCATTCGTATACTCCAAGACAAGTCTGACTTATTCTTGAACCATTGGCCCTTTTGAATGACCCTACTTTCATGAAAATTAGAAAATTCAGCTTTCTCTTCCTCATTACTTTGTTATCTATCAACATCCCCAACTGAATTTCAAGTCTTCTTTGCAGCGCCTTTTCTAGAAACCATAGGAATTTCAAAAGAATAATCTTGAGACTCAGTATATGAATTCTTCACTGAGATGCAAAGACGAATTGACACAGATCTGCATATTTCCCACAAAGTCTCCAATTGCCTATCATTATTGACAAAGATAGGAGGAGTATCTTTTGGCATGTTTTCCAACATTGTTTCAGGCAACACATAGCTAAGTTGTTCCTCATGGCTCAATCTATCTATACCAAAATCTTCAACAACCATCTCGACCATTTCATCAAACTTTAAATTATCCCGAATGGTGAACAATTTACCTCCTTTCTTGTTATTCACATTGAAATTCCATGACTCTTTATTCATCATCCATTCTCCAAAAACACCAACAATATGCACCATTTTTCTTCCTGGAAACAAAATCAGAACCATTTTAAGAATAAAAATCATGACAACACAACAATTCGAAAATGAAAAGAACAAATTTAATAGTTTCCAGCAATACAAATATACAATAACAGGAACATGGTGATTACCGTGATATGAGGTGTCAGAGAGATGCGACGATGGTGACGGAGTGATACGAGGGTGGTGATGTAGAGATACGATGGTAACACGGAGAGATAAGACGGTGGTGACAGAGTGATGCGCGGGTGGTGATGGAGAGATAAGACGGTAAGACGGAGAGATAAGATGGTGGTGACAGAGTGATACGCGGCTAAGACGGCGGAGAATACAAATATTATGACGGAGAGACACTGTGATACGACAATTTCATGAGATATTGGGCCATGAAATGTCTTGTTGGGCCATTCTTTATTATATGTAAAATTTCTAATTCGGCGTTTGAAAAAATAATGATATAACCGTATCTACATCACCACTCTCGTATACGATTTTATTGTCGAAGATACGATTTTATTGTCCGTATCTCTCCTTAATAATAAATATCTTTTTATAAAATTATGATTTTTGTTATATAAAATTGTCTATAATTTCAGATAAAATTTACAAAATGTCTTGAAAAACATTTCATCGACCTAAAATATAGGCTACATATATATATATATTAATTTCTCACAACAAATTAATTCAATTTTAAATATGTAATTTATTATTTGTTGTACAGATTTTTTGAGGATATTTTCATAATTTCATAATTAATAAAGTGTATTTTTCAAAAAAAAAAAAGAGAGGTATTTTTTAAAAGAGGCATTTTTCTAAATTTCATCAAAAAAAGAATCATGGATACATTTTACGTTTGTCTATATAAGTATATAACATCTTCCTTCTATCGACATATGACTAGTATAAATTTTGATTAATTTTTAACACGTCTATATAAGTTTCTAATAATACGTTTAATTTTTAGAGAAATTTTTAAAAATGTCATTTTTCAAATGTCATATTTTCAAAATCTTTACAAAAATACTATTTTTTCAAACAAAAAAAAATCATTATATCATTTATTTTTGGGTTAACTATGTTGTATTAGGGTTTAGCTTTGAGGGTTTTAGGGGTTTTAGGGGTCAAAATATT